AGGCCCCACAGGCTTAGGGCACCAATGGTTGAAAAATCAACTAAAAGAAAGATGGCAAGTTTCAGACCTTCTGCTCTGCCATTTGTCTACAGTCCAAGGATATGGAACACCCCCCGCCCCCGCCCAGGCTAAAGGCACCAGTGATCCCCAAGAGACCAGGCCCTAAATGCTCAGATGTGAGGCGCTGAGTCTGTGGAATTTGAGAGCATCAGGGACCCAGGTGCCAGTTTCTAAGACACCGACTACCTTGCCTCAGAGTTAGGAATCCCACACATCTGTCTGTCTGTGAAGGGGCACGAATCCCGGAGTGAAGGAACCTGCGCTGCTTGGGCCCCACATTTCCAGTTATCATTTGGACCAAGAGTCCAAGGACTTTAGCTGACCAGGGCCCTAGATTCCTGACCTCTAGGTACAAAGACCACATGACCAGGGCCTGTGACCTGAGGTCACCCGGTGAGGCCATATGACCTGAGCCGCTGGCAAGGTGAGGTCTCCAGAGCTGACTGTCTGCTGAGGTCAGGGCGGGGTGGGGGGTTGCAGAATTCAGCTCCTGCACCTGCTTGTGTGGGGAACCCAAGACATGTTTGCAAGAACCAGCACCAGCGCAACCCCCGACGCCTCACTCGCTCAGCAGAGTCTCATAGGAATACTAAACTCTTACAAATAAACTTGCAAATAACATGAGAAAAAACAGATCATCATGAGGGAGACTGAGGGGCCGCAACCAGGAAAACTAATAGATGGAGAGAAGAGCACAGACAGAGCAAGGACCAAGGTGCCGAGGTGCTCGGCCTGGGAAAAGTATGGATGACACCCTGTTCTCTGCCTCGGAGGCCACGAGGCTGACCTGGTGCCTCCCCCGCTGAGCTTCTCAACGCCTGATGGCCCCCACAGAGGAAGCGTGCCAGGCCGAAGATACTCAGTAGCTGAGATCCACCTGGGGGCTTTGAGCAGCATGCACTGAGGCGTCCAGCCTAGATGGGGCTGGGACTGTGGCCTCACCTGGCTGAAAGTGGACTCGTACTCCACCTGTCCCTTGTTGTTCACATGCAAGATGGGGGCTGCAATGGCTGCTTGCAAGTCAAATCCAAGCCACAGCTTGTTCATGATGGCCTGGGGGAGAGAAGCAGGGAGGAAGCGGGGAGGGGGCGCCAGCCACCCCACGCCCACCTCTTCCTTCCCCCAGGACAGCAGGACAACAGTGTTGCTCAGAAAGGGGACATTCCAGCCAGGAGCCCCCAGACTCACCTGGGCCACAGCAGAGATGATGAGCTCCCCACCAGCCCCGCCAATCACCAGCTTTGACCCCTGGGCTGCGTTGACCAAGATGGAGGGGACCATGGATGATGGGGGCCGCTCACCTGGTACTGGAGGCCAAACAGGTGTCACCTGCAGCCTGACTTCTGAGCCAGAACTTTGTAGGACTGCCACTTCCGTCTCTGTTTCCATTCACCTCCTCACAAACCAAGGCTGGGCGAGTTGGGGTGGCTGCCCCAGGGGCCACCGTGCAGCACCCTCCTGCCCACCTTCCTTTCTCTCTCCCCAGTGGGCCCCACCCCCAGGCTCACCGGGTGGAGGGGTGACACGGGAGGCTGGCGGTCTCCTCCAGCACAGGTCTAGGAGCTCATTGTTGAGGAGGATGCCCGTGTGCGGTGAGTACACCATGGCTCCAAAGCTGCAGAAAGGGAGGCACAGCCTGGGCTCGGGCCATAGCTTCCAGCTCCCACACCGAGTGTGGGTGCCCCCTTGCCAGCCTTCCAGGGGCCCCTTGTTTTAGCGGCTGTTCTCTAGCATGCTGGAGCCACAGTTCCCTCCCTGGAACTGCCCCCAAAGATCCACCCACGATCCCAATCAGGGTGTCTTTCTGAGGAAGGCCCATCCTTGGGTGTATCCTGGCTCAGGGCTACCCATCAGCAGCCTTTTCAGCCAGAAATGTCACGGATATAGAAGCTTTTTTGATAGAGAGGAAGAAGAAATGCGAAAAGCAAGGTGCTGCCCCGCGGAGACAACCGAGGGGAGGCCGGGAGCTGGGAGACCAGGCTGGGGGCAGGGTGGGGACAGGGAGATTCAGCTCAAGGGGGAAAAGGAGCAGGGCCTGCCCTCCTGCCGCCAGGACACACGCACGGAGTGTTGATGGTGCTGGTTGCAGCCACGGCACTGCCATCCTCCCCCAGCACGGACACATGGGTTGTGCCCATGCTGTGGCCCCGGGCCCCGACCAGGCTATAGTGGCTGAGCTGGTGGTCACCCCGGGCATCGATCTTCTGGCGGATGTGCTGGGCCAGAGCCTCCCCCAGCAGGTTCTGGGAGATGTTCTGGAGTGGGCAGTCAGGAGATGGGGTCAGTGAGGGGCCAGGGGGGGCCCACAGAGCAGAGGGACCCTTAGGGGACCCTCTCCAGTCTGTCCTCTCTCAAGCTCAGGCTACCTCTAGATCCTGCACACACTCCAGGTCCTCTGAGATGTGCCACCAGTTCCCTCCTGTACCTGCCACTCCAGAGTCTCTACCAGTCCCCAGATCTGCTGCACCCTCCCTGCCCTGGGCCACTGCCAGGCTGTCCTGTTCTAGAACCAACCTCATAACACCCCTCCCACCTCACCCAGCCAGGCTCTCATGGTCCATGGACAGAGCGCCCACTGGCCTAACCATCCCTCATGCTGAGCCCTGGGCCCAGCCCAGACCACCTCACCTGGACCTCTAGGTGGCTTCGAGGGTCCCAGAGCTGCCACCTAAACCCTCCAGCAAACTTGAGTGTTTCCACAAAATGATGATACAAGTTCACGCTGCCTTCAGGTCTGGCCACTGACTCCGCAGAGAAATTGAACCCTGGGGAGGGGGCGGGCACAGGTGGGGGTCACCCTGTGTATTGGGTTAACTGTTGTAGTCCCCCCAAAAAGATTTATTTATGTCTTAATCCCCAGAACCTGTGAATACTACCATGTATGGCAAAAGAGTGAATATTACCTTATGTGGCAAAATGTGCGATTAAATTAAGGATCTCGAGAGGAGCGGATTATCCTGGATTATCCGGTGGGCTCTAAATGTAATCACATGTATCCTTATAAAACAGACACAGAGAAGGGGAGGAGGCCATGTGACCACGGAGGCAGAGACTGGAGGGATGCAGCCACAAACTTAGGAATGCCACCAGAAGTTGGAAGAGGCAAAGAATGGGTTCTCCCCCAGAGCCCCTGGAGGAAACATGGCCTGGCTGACACCTTGATTTTGAACTTCTGGCCTCCAGAACTAGGAGAGAATAAAAGTTCTGTTGTTTTAAGCCACCAGGTTCGTGGTGATGTGTTACAGCAGTCCCAGGGAGCCAGTCCAGCCAGCCTCACACAGTCCAGCCCAGGACATGCCAGGACGCCCCTCACCGCCCTGCAGGCCGCGATAAGCCAGACCAGGCCTCACAGGATGCACACGCTGGATGGAGAGCTCACCACCTGTGGAGCCTATCTGCTCCTATGTTCTGAGACTAGGTTACCTGGGGAGGACACAGTGGGTAGATGACATCAGACCCTTCAGCAAGGCCCCTAGGCCAGCTCTAGAACACACCATCTTGACCCATTTCCACAGCCCTGTCTTCTGCATCCGAGGAGGGGGCTGAACTGGAAAAGGCAATAGCTGCCCAAGGGCATGGCTGGGCTTGAAGTTCAGGTTCCCAGCAGGGCAGGAGGACTCTGGGCCGGAGGCCTGGGGCCCTCACCTTTGAGCACGTTGAGGATGAAGCTGAGAATTGCGCCCCCTGCAGGTGGTGGTGGCGAGTACAGGGTGTAGTCTCCCAGGGGCATTGCCAGGGCGTCCACCACCTCCGGCTGGAATGATGCCAGGTCCTGCAGAGTCAGCTGGCTACCTGAAGTGAGACGGAGAAAACTCCAGGTACCGATAGGGAAAAAGGAGGAACATGACAGCCACTGACCCCTGGTCACACAGTGGGGCTCCTGTGGTTCCCTAGCCTTCTAGATCCAGAGGGGTAAGTGTGAGTCAGTGGGCAGTTGCATCAGAGATGGGCCTTAGAGACAAGCAGGGGTTGGGTGGACAAGGGCCAGAGGCAGGCAGATCTGGGGGGTAGGAGGGAAGGTAGGAGAAGCGAGCTAGCCACTGTGAGTGTGAAGGTGGCCAGCTCCAGGCCCAGGAGCCCCCACGGCCCACCATGGCCACCAATAATTCCCCTCTGTTGGCCCTGACTACAGGGGCTCTGCTCCTCAGGGGCCTTGAAGGCAGAGTCCCTGAGGCCAGCAGTGGGCAGGACAGGGCTCATGGCCTTGCCAAGCCCTGGGAGCAGCTGGCACTTCCACAGAGCCTGGGGAAGAGCCTGCCCTCAATACCCAGTGCCCAGACTCAGAGCTTTCTCTGGCAGGGCCAGGGGCTGTGTGACCTCAGTGTGGCTCACCTTCCTTGGCAATGTCCTCCAGCAGCATCTGCCCTAGCCTCCCTGTGTAGAAAGCCTCTGCGCCTTCCGTGGCCACGGTCTCCAGGGTGGTGGCCAAGGCAGGCCAGGGAAACGGGTCCTGAGGTCTCAGGGGTTCTGTCCCATTGAAGAAGAGCTGCCTGGGGGTGGGGGGAGCCTCAGGGTGAGCTCAGGTGCCGGAGGGCCGTCACACTCCTGCAGGGGCTCTCTTGGAACCCTACAGGGAGGTAATCCTGGGCCAGGTCCCAGAGGGCCGTCACACTCCTGTAGGGGCTCTCTTGGGGTCCTTGGAACCCTACAGGGAGGTAATCCTGGGCCAGGGTCCTGAGGGCCTGGGATGGACATCGGCAGGACAGATTCTCCAGGACTGGGTGGGGCTGTCGCCTCTCACCTCACTCATCACACTGCCCGAGGCGGGCGTGCTCCCCAGTAGGGCTCGTGCCCGCCCAGGGCCTGTCCTCCCTACATTCCCGGGAGGACCTAGTCAGTGGGCTGACAGGGTGGGCAATAGGGATGGCCAAAGCCTTCCCATCAGCTCAGAGAGAGTGAGAAGGAGGGCAAGGCCAGAGGGCAGTGTCAGAGCCCAAATCCACGCCCTTGGAGTCACCATCTGGGCACAATCCCCTCTGGCCTGAGCCCCTCCCATTAGGTTTTCCCATATAGATCCTAGAGGTCTGAACCGAGACAGTAAAGTACAGGCCATGCAAGGGTGCTCCATCTTCCAGGGGCTCAGGTGGAGCTTAGGTGGGGGCCAGGCTCAGACAGGCTGTGGCCTGAACCCAGGAGCTGAGAAGGGGCCCCAGCACCCTCTCCCCACTGGGCAGTGCTCACCTCAGGGAGGATTTGTACAAGAAAGGCCGCAGGATGCTGTTGTTCAGGAACTGGCTGAGGACGTGAGGCATGCGGTAGTCGCTGCGGAGCAGCCTGATGGTGGGCTGGAACAGCTGCGCCCAGGGCAGGCGGCCATGGCGGCGGTGGGCCTCCGCGTAACCGCGGAGCTCCCCAGGCACCCCGATCCATTGGGCCCCTGCAGGGCGTGGCAGCGTCACGCTCCTCCCACCAGGCTGTCCCTCAGCCCGGTGGCTTCCAGGGCTGACCAGTGTTCTCCGTCACTCCTACACTTCACCACACCAGCCTTGCCTCCAGCCATGGCAGCCAGAGTGAGCTATCTGGAGCTCACACCTGACTACATCCTTCCCCACTCGAACTCCCCGTGGCTGCCCACTGCCCTCTGTACAGAGTTACAGCCAGGCCCATGGGGCCCAGCACAAACTGGTGTGAGGACCCCTCACCCCCACAACCCATCTCCATTGAGCCCTCTGGCCTTTGTCTGGGCTGGTCGCTGGACTTGAATCACCCCTCCCTACTCAGAAAGCCCCTCCCCCAGGGAAAGCTCCTCCAACCCCAGTGGGTCAGGACCTCTGTGGGGGCCCCCCATCCCCCAGCTGCTGTCCCCCAGTGTGAGGATGTCTCAGCCTGTCCATGAGGCATACTGCCCCTTCAGGGGGTGTTCTGGTCAGCCCAAGGGGCCCCTCCCAGGGCCTCACCTGTGCCCAGTGGCTGGGCCCGCTCACACTGGTCCAGCAGACCCTGGACGTGGCTGGTGGGCACTGTCTCCCTGGCATTGATGACCTCCACCTTCCCTGCAGTCAGGGCAGAGTGTGCCAGTGGTCAGGGTCATTCTTGGCTGGCCAGACTCAGCCCACACCATGGTCCCCCTCAGATGTCCCTGGCCCTGTTCAGAGCCTCAGTTTCCTTCTCCATATCATGAATTGGCCTTTGTGCTAATACTCGAGATAGGACCTGCCATGAAGGCTTTGCACAGATGGTGGGGAGGGGGCAGAGGGCACAAAGAAGACCCAGGAAGGAGCATGGGAGGACAGAATAGGCTCAGCCAGACACTCATGATGTTACAAGCACCTCGCCATCAGTGCTTGTGGACAAGCCTATCCTCCCCAAGGGGTTCCCTTATGGATTCACCTGTGGTAGCATTGTAGATGGTGAAGATGACCCCTCCGCCCAGGCCCATGCTCTGGGGGTTGACAACACTGGTGCAGACCAGAGCCGCAATGGCGGCATCCACGGGTGAGCCCTGCTGCTGGAGGATGGCCCTAGAAGACATGGCACAGAGTAAGGGGCCTAGTTCCCCTTCTCCAGCCTCCCGACCTGGGCTTGCTTGGCTGGCATTCACTGGGAAATAGTGACAGGTGGATGGTCCCTCTGCTGCCACCAAACCATCAAAGACCAGACCAGGCTACCCCATGAAGTCCAGCCACTCACGGGTCCACAGCACTCTATAGATTGCGAATTATAATGCCATTTATAATGCCCTTTGCCATATATAAGGTGCTTCTCAGTTAGCAAAGTGCTTCTGCTGCCATTATTCCCTATGTCCTCCCAGAGGCACTGGCTCATTTGTAACAGCCAGAACCAGGCCTGGGCCAGGCCCTCCATCTCTCTCATCAGTCCCAGGAGCCCGACCTAGGCAGCCGCCATTCCCCATCTCACATGAGCTCCCAGTTCTTTAAGACTGGACTTTTTCAGGTGACCCCAAGATCCTCCCCTGCCATCAGGGTTTGGGCTTGGACTGATGGGTCCCATAGCCCCTCCCAGGGCCCTAGTGTCTATGGAAATGCTCTCTGGCCTTAGTCTCCCCATTTGTCCACGGGCAGCAAGGGGTGAACCCTTCGGCTCTGAGGTGCTGGTCAGATTGGCCTGTGTTGAGAAAACAACCCTGAAGCACAGCCCTGAACAGCTCACCAGAGGCAGCCTCTTCCCTCACACCCAGGAATCTTCCCCAGCACATCTGGGAAGCCAGCATTTAACTCCCCATTACAGACAGGGAAACTGAGGCTCAAAGAGGGAGTGGACCTGGGTCTCCTTCCCCAACTCTGTGAGACCTCTGACCCTAGCACCCCGCTCGCACATTGGCTCAGCCATTCTCTCCTGCACTCACACCCTTCCCTGAGCCACATGTCACTGCTCTGGGCCAGCACGTGGGCACACACAGGTACCACATGGACACACGTAAGCTTGGAATGGGAAAGAGGGCCCAAAGCCAGAAGTATGAGAGAACTAAGACTGTTATGCTCAAGCATAGAGAAACACAAGTTTTTAATAAGAATAAAACACCATAAAGTTAAAAGACATACTGGGAAAAAAAATTTTTTTAATTCCCATCGCACAGACAAAGGCCTCATCTCTCCTGACCCATTGCTTCCTCTCCCTGGAGTGCTTTTTGCATGAAGCTTCCAGAAGATGTGCCCCACCCCCTATGCTCTGGTTTTCCTCCCAACACCCTGACATCATGACTTCAGAGGCCCTGGGCTCAGTCCTTGGCATTTGTGCAAATATAACTTCTGGATGACCTTATCCAGGCTCAAAGCTTAAAATTCAACTTCTATGCTGATTATCCCCAAATCCTAACTTCAGCCCAGTTGTCTCCCCTAAATTTCATACAGTTTATCCCCAGCCATCCGCAAGATACCTCCCCTGGACATCTAAGAGGCATTTCACTCTTAACATGACCTAAACTAAACTTTTTACTTTCCTTCTACCTCTGTCCTCAAAATGACTCCTCTCTTAGTCTTCACTGTGGATGTGTTCGTTGAGAATCCCTGAAGTCCAGTTGAACAGAAGTCCAACAAATGGGGACAAATAGAAGAAGCCACCTCAAGACTAGTAGGAGGGGTAGAGATGCAAACAGCCTGGCTCCACATGCTCGTGTGGCAGTTAAAAACCCAGAGGGATATCTTGGCTGCACAGTTTCCCCTGGAGGAGTAAGGAGTCCCAGCCCCAAACCAGGCTCCCCAGCCTAGGATTCCAGTGCTGAGAACAGAAGTCTCCACAACTTCTGGGTGTGAAAGCCAGCAGAATGGCTGAGTGAGACAAAGGACAGCCTGGCATTTCTCTTAAAGGGCCCGCATATAGACTTACTAGCTGATGAACTCACTCTGAGCAGCAGCTCAAAAGGTGCCAAGGACATACGACGAGGAGCTGGCTCCAGAGTAAGGGCTGGAGGGGCAGCTCTCGCCCAGACAGAAGTGCTGGTAGAATCCATTGCTTCTTTGTTGAGCCCTCCCCTCTCCTATGTACAGACACAGGTGGCCACCATATCCAAGTTTCCATTAACCTGGCTAATACTTTTCACTCCGCCTTGGTGGGTCCCTGAGACCCTGCCCCACCTAAATTGCAGGCCCACCTAAGCCACTTCCAGTGGCTTTCTCATACAAATGGCCTGTCTTGGCTCATGCTGTAGATTTTCCTAAAATCTCTCAAAGATTCACAAAACCCAAACAAGCAGCACTGGGCCTTGGCATGCCCTGTACCTCTTGCTGAGTAGCCCCAAGCCCAGCACTAGCAACAGCTGGTCTCGATATGTGGCTTGGTTTCTTGAGACATCTCCCAGCCCAGTGCAGGTGGCAGCCATCTATGATTGCTTAGTGGCTCATGCCAGGTGGCCCTGGGCAGGGGACAGGCATGGCCGAACTTGGCCTGCAGCAGTGCCCCACCCCCCAGGAGGCCCCAGGGCTGACATGCTTTGTGGTCAGCTTCAGACCCAGCCAGAGCACTACCCAGGGCCACATTTGAGGATGACACGCCCAAAGGGAGGACAGAACAGGCACTAGAGCCCTGCTAAAGTGAATCCTGTTTTGCAGAGTCAGACCCCACACAACAGCTCCTTCCTTTGATGTGCAAACAAAAACCAAGGCTCAACTACAACACAACCCATACAAAGGACACACCTGAACCACCTCGTTCAGGTGACCAGGGAGATCGTGCCACTGGGTCTCACACAACACCTGTTACATAAGGCTACTCTACTAAGACCAGGAGACATAGTAGCCCTACCTGATACAGAGAAACAAACATGGGGAGTCAGACAAAATGAGAAGACAAAGAAACATGTCCCAAATGAAAGAACGGAACAAAGCTCCAGAAAAAGAAGTAAACAAAATGGAGACGAGCAATCTACCAGATGAAGAGTTCAAAACACTGGTTATAAGGATGCTTAGTGATCTCAGTGAGAACTTCGACGAAGAGATAGGAAACATAGAAATGGAGATAGGAAACAAAAAAGAACCCGTCAGAAATGAAGAACGTAATAACTAAAATGAAGAATGCATTAGAGGGAATCAACAGTAGATTAGACGAAACAGAGGACTGAATTAGCAATTTAGAAGACAAGGTAGTAGAAAACGCCTAATCAGAATAGCAAAAAAAAAACAAAAACAAAAACAAAAATAAGGATAGTTTAAGGGGTCTCTGGGACAACATTAAGCATACCAACATTCGCATCCCACAGTACCGGAAGGAGAAGATAGAGAGCAAAGAATTGAAATATATATGGAGAAATAAGAAGTGATGGAAAACTTCCCTAACCTGGTGAAGGAAATAGATATACAGACCTAAGGAAATAGATATACAGGAAGCACAGAGTCCCAAACAAGATGAACCCAAGAGACCCACGCCAAGACACATCATAATTAAAATGCCACAGGTTAAAGCCAAAGGTTAAAGACAAGGAGAGAATCTTAAAAGCAGCAAGAGAAAAGCACTTAGTTACCTACAAGGGAGCTCCCCTAAGACTGTCAGCTGATTTCTCAACAGAAACTTTGCAGGCCAGCAGGATTGGCATGAAATATTCAAAGTGATGAAAAGCAAGGACTTACAACCAAGATTATCCAGCAAAGCTACCATTTAGAAGGACAGATAAAGAATTTCCCTGACAAGAAAAAGCTAAAGGAATTCTTTACCACCAAACCAGTATTAAAAGAAATGTTAGAGAGACTTCTTAGAAGGAGGAGGAGGAAAAGGGGAAAGGAGGAGGAGGAGGAGGAGGAGGAGGAGGAAAACAAAAATATGAATAATAAAATGGTAATAACTACATATCTATCAATAGTTACTTTAAACTTGAATGGATTAAATGCTCCGATTAAAAAATAGAGCGGCTGAATGGATAAGAAAACAAGACTCTTACATATGCTGCCTACAAGAGACTCACTTCAGATCAAAAGA